TGAACATGAATCCATAGAAGTCAGGCTTCTATTGGGATTAGGATTGAGTTTGCTATAAAAGAGAGGCACCCCCATGGGTCTAAGGTACGCAACTTTTATTCTGTCTAGTGAGATTAGCATTATTGATTATCTTTGAGAGATATGCTGACTTGATCGTCGGAGTGCCCCCGGGTAGACGAACCACCGCCAGAATCTTCTCTTTCTGTTACAGGTTAGCCCAAGTGTCATCTATTCTGCCAGTGTTCTCCAGCTGAATACTGAATCAGGCAGTGTGATAGGAAAATCACTCACATAGTGTAATTTTACAAAAATATAAAAAAGAAAGTAGTCACCTTCGTGGCCGGACTGTGTATAGAGCCGAAATTGCAGAATCTACTTTTTTACTGACGAATTCGCACTAAACAATTTTTGGTAATCACAGATCTAGCGAGTTCTGCGGTGCAGAGAAGCAGAACCTACCAGGAAGGAGCTATATAGAGTGAGAAAGAGAAGGGAGTCTTTAGAGTAAAGGTTGAAAACATGGCTACTTTTTATTAGGAAAATTGCATATTAGCGGAACAGTGGAAAAAAAATATATACATTTCTATGATAATGCAATTTTTATTTTTATTTTTTTTTTCTGTTTTTGGTATATGATGTAAATTTTTTCTTGCATTTAGGCTAAGGTTAAATAAGTGTATTTTTTGATTTTTTTTGTATTATGTGTAAAAAAAGTAGAGAGAAGATGTTGATTGATGTGACTTAAAAAAGATAAAAAGATGAAATAAGTACACTTTTTTTTATTAGCCAAACTTAGCCTTAGTGTAACTCGATTTGTGTGTCAAGGTTGCCCGTAAAAAAATTCTATTTGTAGTGTAAAAAAAAATTTCGATGCTCAATGGATTTGCAATTTTTCCTTTTTATTTCGGTCGTACCAAAAGAGAAAAAGAAGGCCAAGGCTGCTTTTTATAGTGGGTGTACGTGAGATTCATTCCTTAACCGTTAAGGCTGGAAAATAAGGTCGTCAAGTCTACCCATTTTAATTTCAAAAATGTTTAGGACTCAAAAAAAAATATTTACAATTATATTTATAATGATATGAAATTATATGTGTTAATTTTTATTTTGTTATAAACTCAATAGGATTTGCTCTTTTGAATTTTTTTGATCAGCGAGACTCGTATTTATTGCTTGGTTTAGGAGACAAAACAACTAAAATGTCATGTGTTAAACGGTGTAGAGCACTATTTTAAGACTATCAAATAATCACTCTTGTAAATCTTTGTTTTGGTGGATTGCAATCACGCTATTTATATATTGGGATTGGATCCCTTTCAATTAAGATATTCGACTGAATGGTTCTGTCCGGCCTACTGTAAGTCCACTTTAAGCTCGTCACAATAATTTAAATTATTTATTTTGTAGAACCATTTAAAAAAATCATGGATAAAAAAAAAAAATCAAGTTGATTACATATCAGAAATCACTCGATCGAATCACATTTATCTAAAAAAAATTAATGGACTACTTTCAAAATTATGGTGTCCGTTAATTAATTTTTAGACAACTATGTTCCAATTGAATGGTTCCCAATGTTCAATTGACCTGACCTTTTTTCTTTTTTTTTTGTTATTGTTTTTTTTTTTTGCATGATCTCTTTGGAAGACCTTACATTTGAACGGTTTGAATCATTAACACGGGCCCAAAATAAGTCCACGGTGAGCCAAAGTGGATCATCCAATTGGATATCCCAATTGGAGATAATGCAGTCCCTCATATATTATGTTTACCATTTGTTTGGAGGAGAAGAAAAAAAAAATGATTTTACTTTGTCCTAATCACTTGTTTGAATTACTCATTACAACATATGAGAGTTTTAGGAATTGAACTTTTTTCTTCAAAAGTTAAAGTTTTATTGTAAAAAAAATATTATGAGACCAATCCTTGTCGTTATAGGGCTTATCACTAAACAACCCTTAGCGATAAAATTTTGAAATTATTGCTAATAAATGTTAGGGACAAAATAATTTTATGCAAAAAATATTATACGCTCTTAAATGATAAATTTTGATACAAGAAAGAAAATAATTTATCACTAAATATCAAATTACATTGCTAAAAGTACAACAATGACACATTCAACAATTAAGGACTCGTTAGTTTGGCGGATTAGGTTGGATAAGATTACAAGTATGGTGAGATTGAGTAACAAGATTATTAGTGTGGTAGTATTATGTTAGAGATATAAGACAAAGTGTGTTTGTTTGTGCACTAATGTGATAGCATTAGTTAGTTAGGATCAAATTTGCAAATTACGTAAAAACCTTTATCACATGGAAGATAACTTTGTTGAATTTGTAAAATGAAAGGTAAAATTGTCTTTTAGCCATCAAGCCATGGGAGTGGATTATCAATCTCACCTCCACTATGGGATTGCTAATCCCACCATGGGAAGGGACAAATAGTCCATGAGATTAGCAATCCCACACCATTCCTCTTCAAACAAATATGGTATAGCAATCCCACACCATTCCTCTTCAAACAAATATGGTATAAGTAGGGCTCACAGATTACTAATCGATTCCCCCATTCCAAACCCCCTCAATCAAACACGGCCTAAGAAATTTCATCCCTAAAATGTGAATTTTTTTTTTCTTGAGTCTCTAAAACCTTAATTTATCGTAGTAAGAGATGAGAGAAATGAGGAAAAGTAAAGAAATAGAGAGTTATTGATTTCTCTTACAACATACTTTTAAATCACTCCAAAATTGAAGAGATTGGGAGATAAAAGAAATTGGATGATTACTAATTTTATGTCTTGCAAAATTTGTTTGTCTAAGTAATAGAGAAATAAAAACATAAAAAATATTTTGGTAATATAACCTGGAAGTGTTTCATTTCTTTTATTTTATATAGTCTTATTAAACAAGATTAGAGAGAAATCATTATTTATTTATTTTTATTTTTGCTATCCAATTTAATTAAACAAGAGAGAGAAATCACAATCCTCTCTTTTATTTTCTTTTCATTTATGTATTTTTTTTTATTTAGTAAATTTTTTAACAAATATTTTATTTGTTTAAGTATTTTAGATTAAATGCATCCAAAAAGGTACCCAAAAAAATTAAAATATTAACAAATTTCACTAAAGACATAAAAATACAAAAAATAAAAAATTCAAATTCAAAACCAAACAGACAAGTCTTTCTTTTATGCTGTGTTTGGTTGATGGTTTAGAGAGAGATTTGGAAAGGGAAAGGATAAAAGTGTGTGAAGCTAGATGAAATGTAGGTATGTTTTATTTACATTTCACCTACCTTTTTCGTTTTTCTTTTTAAATCCTTTCTCAAATCTCCTAACCAAACACAACATTAATAAAGTTTATAGAATCAGGCCCACAGGTGCAATCTTACAGTCCGTTTTGGGAAGACACAAAGAAAAAGGAAAGACTGTCTAAGTTGGAAGAGAAAAGGAAAAAAAAATATGTTATATCGTTTTTTGTTTGAATAAAATAAGTGAAACCAAGACAATGGGTTTCCTATTGTTTTCTTAGAAGGAAAAGAAGAAGAAAAGTAAAACACTGATATGGCTTGTTTTGAGGGATTGGAATGAGGGTATAGAATAAATAATCTCAATTGTATTTTAATTGGACAGTAAGAAAATAATTTCTTTTTCATGATAGTGCAATCTCTTGTGCATATCGTATGATTTTTATCTGTGTTTAATTATTTATAATTTCTCGAACAAGTAATACGGTGAGTTCCCATAAATTTTTAGTATCATAAAATTGTTAGTAAAAACCCGCGTTATGTATGGAATGTAAAAAAATTAATAAATTATGTTTATATAAAATAATATAAATAGTTAGATTTTTATATGTAAATTATGAGAACAAAAAAATATTGATACTTACAATTTAAGTTTCACAATTTTATCACAATTTATGCATCAATTTTTAATTTGTCACAATTTGAATCATGTAACTTTCAAGTCTCTCGCTAAAGTTGTAAATTTTGGCAAGTTGAACCTAAGTAACTCGAATCAAGCCTGTAAATTTTTAAAGATTGGACAACATAATTTTTATCGGTGAGAATCTATGTAAAATTCAAAAATTAATAAATTTGAATGGATTTGGGCTGAGACACCAAATAACATGAGCAATTGAAACAAAATTATATATATAAATATATAAAATTATTTGTTAATTTATTTTTGTAATAATAAATAAGATTAATTAAAATTTTAATATTAATGAACAAAAGTAAATACACCTTTTAGAAAGGGATACTAAAAAGACTTACATTTTATAATGACATAAGATAATTTAAATATGATTTTTTTTTATTTTTTTATTTAAAAATTACAATAAAATATTAAATATAATAAGATTAAATTTCTTACAAAATAAAAGTATTTGAATAAAAAAAAGGTAAAAAAAAATTAGAATGATATTCTCATTTGATCTGCAAATAATTCTAGATGACCAATAAATTACCACCTATAACTCTCATTTTTTTTAAATAAAAAAAAATTCACAAACCATCACATTTATTAGAAAAATAACATTTATTTCTATTTGTTTTAGCAAAAGTCACTTTTTAGCAATTTGAGTCAAAAATTTTTCATTTTTCACTTAGTTTGTTTAATTGACAATTGAGAATTAATAGGATCCACCGAGTGCTAAAAAAATCTAGATGAACAATAAGCAAAATGTTTGAGACTCACAAAAAATATCCACAATTGTATCCACAATGATGTGGTATCATATTTGTTAACTCTTGATTTGCTATATATACTCAACGACATGGGATCCAACTCCCTTGCCAAATCATTGTGGTTGAAAGCATGGGTTTGTAATATTGCTGAAACAATAAATTATCACGTGTTACTCCCATTTTCCTTTTTTATTAAAGGAAATCTGATTTTGCCCCCTAAACTTTCACGCATTTTTCAATTTGACCCTCCAGACTTCGATTAATATCAATTTTACACCCAAATATTGAAAATTTTGATAAATTCAGCCCCCGCCGTCACATTCCGTCTACAATTAGATGAAATGTGTTAACATGGCACCAAAATTCATTTGGAATTTCATTTTACCGCTCAAACTATACATTAAAAATTAATTAGCCCCCCAAATATGAAGAAATTAAAATTTAATATTTAATAAATATTTTTTTTTATCAAAATAATGAAAAATTTTAAATTTTAAATAATATTTACTTTTCAAAAATAATAATAAAAAAATATAAAAATCCATATTTAGAATTATCTTGAGACTATGAAATATGAGTATTTCGACAAACATATCGTACCCGTACCGGATACTTACGGAATTTTAACAAAAATTTTCCACTCAATTTAAAATTACTATTTGTTGATCAATTCAATTGAAATTAATTTGGTTAATAAACTAGTTACAATAAGTTTTTGCAGGATCCACTCGAGATAATTTGAGAGTTATGAAGCATATGTACGGATATGAGTACTAGTATTGGTATGATACAGGTACGTTGACACGGTAAA